CTTACCCTCTAAGGGCAAGAATATTTCAAACAAAATCAAGCGACGGTTGCACTGCACTGCTTGGCGGCCTTGACTTCAGAAAGACATAGGGATTCTTGAATGTGTCCAACGACGTACTACTAAGGCAGTCCCTGAACTTAAACAGTTGGCATACGAACAACGTTTACCTGCCTTAAATCTCTTTCCCCTCCGTTATAGACAAGATAGGGATGACCTTATAGCAACGTTTCAGTTACTAAGGGGCACTGATGTGGATGTCCAATGGGAGGATCTCTTTCAAACGGCTCCAAGAAGGAACCCCAGAAGACATGATTGCCAGTTGAAGAAGGAACCCAGCCGCACAAACTAACCTTCATCCTTCTTCTCTCAAAGAGTGGTTCGACATTGGAACTCTTTGCCGGCGTCAGTTGTGCATTCCCCCACTGTGAGCGTGCTCAAGAGACACCTGGCTAATTACCTCTTAAAGGCCACTCCATACCTTCAACCCCCTTCCTAAAAGGAATATAGACTGCCTACCTGTCTACTATACCTACAAGTTTCAATAGACTCTATATGTACATTCATTTGGCTCCGGTGAACATTTCATGGTGGAAATGCAGTGAACGTGTTCTAGGCTGCTATTTCGCTAAAGCCTCGCCTTTTCAACCATTCGTGTTTTTTTAAATATTTTTATGCATTTTGCATAAGAAAGCGACCTGCACCTATTTTTACATATTTACTACATTTTATGCATTCTTGTACCATTTCAGTGGAGTTTTGAAGGGCTTTTGTCATTTACTGCAAATGTAGTGACTGATACTGACTGACTGCCGTAAAACACAACTGAACTCGTCCTCCTCAGTCCTACACTAAAAGCCTTTCAATAAACCGGGCAAAGGATGCCTTGCCGTTGGCCGTCACCACAAATTGTGTGTGTATGAATTCACGCGCACTTGCGGGTGCAAGTACCTTGGGCATAGTACGCAAAGGCAACTTGCAGCCAGGGCCGTTGAGCACTGGCTTTTCAAGCAAGAAGATAGAGTATCACAGTCCTCGACTAAATAGCACATCTGCTAGATAGTGGTCACTCTGTTGATCTCAGAACAGCTTAGTTATTCGGGTTGCGCGCCGACAACAAATGACGAACATTGGGGCGGGGGAGTGGACGTTGTGGTATGCGTAGGGGCGCGTCAGCCCCCGGTCTTCTTCATTCTGTCTTGACAGAGGCACAC